TGAGAATCTAAATTTCAAGAGCATAAATTACAGGGATAATTTGGCCTCAGTTTGCAAAACATCTAAAATATCCAGGGTTGCGTAGAAATTAAATATTAAATACACATTTTTTAAATGCTTTTTCTGATGTGCTTGACAAAAATATCTGATAGATGGCAAGAGGGTTACCAACAGGGTTACATGATACTCAGAAGAGACAAAAAGACGTACACCTAAAACCTACATGTGCTACTTCTTAGCAAATGAGAAAATCAGTTTCACTACAAAACAAAGAAAACAAATTGTATTGTAATTCAGCACTCCAATTTTACAGTGGATTGAAAAGAAATCATCTTAAATTGCTGAGTTATTTACGTGTTCATATTTATTTGTTAGGTGCAATGAAGGGGGGCAATTAAGCCAGTTTTAATTCACTCAGCATAGGACCAAAGGGCCAGCATTTGGTTTGTTGAACAGTGTTTATTTTACTATTGCTACTACTACTATGGGAGGTAAAATCATTACCATCTTATTTAGAATCTGGGTAATGGTATGGCATTCCGTTTTCAGGGAGGTTTTAAAAAAATCTCTTTATAAGATTGTTTTGAAACCTCTTAGTTCTGCATAATGTTTCCCCTTTGAGCTAATTGTTTTTTGAGGGAAATTTAATTTTTAAAAGCGTGTTTTTCTAACTAATAGAAACCTGCGCTAAAGTAAACAAAGGTCTTATTTGATAGGAATTTTTGCTCCGTCTGTACAAGAAGAAGGAAGGAAAAGAACATGTAATAGAGTGACGAAATACACTAGCAGATTTACTGAAATTTTGAAAAAGCAATCAACACACCATTTTCTATTCCACTTGTCTTATTCAGAACAGATCATTTAACCCTGCCTCATTTAAAACTGTATATGATCATTTTTGCTAGAAAAACATAAATGGAGGTTCCGACATTATTTACTTACGTTCTTACTTTTAAAATATTTCTGATAAGTTATTTTGTCAATAAAACCCTGTCCTCATACAGCGTTTTTGCACAGAACAAGATTTAAAAGCAACCCAAAGCTTTTCAAGGCTGTCATCAGCTTTGACTATAACGTTATATTATATTAACCTTACCCATAAAGCCGAAGCCAAGAAATGTGAAACAGATATAAAAAGCCAAACTTTCCACCTCCTTCAGGGATATTAATGAGTAACTTCATGGTCTCAATTATGTCCTATCTTCCCAGATGGGAATTAGAGAGGTCATCCTGAGCTAGCAAAAATTATTTATTCTTCTCCTGCTGCCCATCTATAGCTCAAGTCTTCCTTGTAGCTCAGTACTTTAAAAACCACTGTCCCAAGCATCTATTCCCAACTGCTGCAATAAACAGAATAAAATAGAAAAGAGCAGAGACTTGAAAGAGATGAGGCAAAAGGATATTAAAAGCACAGAAGTTTAGTTATGCCTGCCACCTTACTGCTATTTACAACTGAATTCTAGCATTTTTGCTGAAGATAGCGACAGCGTCTTCTTCACACAAGAACTCAGAAAAGGACTATTAAATGGGATTTTTATTTCCGTCTATTTTTTTTACTATCGCTGCCCTTCAAACTGTGCCAGTCTAGAGCCTACTTAAAAAAATTTTCTATATATATATATATATATACACATATAGCAAGGGCACTATATTTGGATTTCGTAAGTGTTTATGAAAACAAACATTATTCTTCCCATGGAGAAGAAAGTCAGGTTCATTCCCCAGCAAGCTGTTGTCTGGCAAACAGAGTTTGTAAATATCGAAACTTCCTACTGGGACTTTGACATTTAATTAAAAAAAAAACAACCTTTACCAGCACCACAATAAAAGCCTATACAAGATGTATGAGTATTGGGCAAACTGTAATGGTGAAATTGTACTATTCCTAAGTAACTCAAGCTTCGAGAGATGAGAAAAGTGAAGCAAACAATGAAAATAATATGTAAATCAAGTCCAAATACCTAAACTAAGAAGTTCTCCACTGTAAGAGCTAATACATTTCCATTTATTAGTTAAGCATGAATACTAATTCAGAATGTAATTAATGTTATTAATCTTTTTTGATTCATACAGGGTTATTTTAATTTAAAGTCACTTCTGATACAGTTAGGAAAGCCTATTGTACAGAAAATTATTTTTCCTCCTTACATTTTTTTAGGAATAAGATAGCTTAAACACTTCTGCCTTTACATTCCTGTGCAGTGTTCCCGCTAAGGAGAACTATCTTGCCAGACATAAAATATAACTGCCTAATTAAACAACGGAAGTCATTACCTCTTGCAAAAGAAACTGCAGGTATTGTCTCATTAATGTTATTTATATGTGGGCATACACAGTATCTATCAGTGGAAAGAAATACCTGTGAATAATCAACATACAAAGTAATGCTAATTGCTATTTTGTGGCCCCAGTATGATAAGAAAGAGCTTGTGTGGAAAGACTTCAATTCAAGTATGTATCAAGTGTCCATACAAAGGATGGCAAGTATCTAGAATTAACAAACAATTTATCCACGGTATTCACGGACATAATTCTTCAGATCTGGATTTAGCTGTCATTACAGCTTTTGCTTTCAAATGCAAAACAAAGCCATGTTATTTTCCTGTTCAATTTTATTCATGTTGTACAGAATGCAGTAAAACTCGTCGTGCCAGAGGATTTGCAAAGGGATGATGCGAAGATTAATTAGTGGCTGTTCATAAAGTACCTTGATTGTGGAAAGCACTACGTATAAAAATGACCTTGTGATAACTGCTGAATGTTCCCAATGCTCAGACTTTCAATGGAAGGTATGGATATTTTTCTACAGCTCTTGCAAACCAAGCTAGTTATATTTAAAGATCTATCGAGGTTTTCAGGTATTTTTGATACTATGTCCACCTTCCACTTTGACTTTTTTAATTGTAAGTATTCTATATTCTATATATTCTGCTTAAATCACACCTTTGCAGGTACAAGAGAGGAAAAGCTCAATATGACGTCAAAAAGATATCCACACGTTCAGGCAGCGAGTGAACCTGGATCTTACCCTTGTCCCCTAGTTACTCCCTAGAAATCAAAGACAGTACTTGAAATAATAGAGAACAGATATTTCTGTAAACGCTGTATTTACTTGGTGAGTTAGTGCTGGAAAAAAATGATAAGGCGCAAGACCAAGCACGAAGAGCACTGCTCAAAAATGGAGCCTACAGTGGTACGTACAGTGCTTTGGTATCTTCTTGCCACTCACATACTCAAAATAATGAGGAATGAAAACACACCACATTTTAATTAAAGCACTACCATCCAGGACTCTCTCAATTTTTTCAGCGACTGTCTCTTTGGTGACACTGCCAGATGCAGATTTCGACGTCTCCTGTACAAATACAGCTTCACGTCTAGCACTGTTGTATTACAGAGATTAATGTCTGTAGCAGAATCCCATTTCTCTCCGCCAGTGTCTTTTTTTTTTTTTTTTTTTTTTTTTAGCAGTAATCAGTTATGGCTACTGCCAGGACACTCAACTTCCCCTTTGCACGGATGGTGTCCTACCAGAACCACGAACTGCAAAAACTACTCGTGCTCGTGTCTTTTCAGGTATTCTCCAGCGTTGACTCGTCCTCCCGTTTTACAGCAGTTCCTTCAAAGAAGGACATTCCCCTCGCAACATCTTCCACAGTCTGGTGGAAACTACAGGTGAAGATCTCACTGTGGCAGCTTTGCAAGCACCAAAGGGGAACTCGGAGCCAACAGGCAGCCAGCCTACCTGAAGGTTAAAGCAGCTCCCAATGAAACCTGCTTTGAATAGTCTGTAGCAGAGCATGATGCAGAAGAGACACTTACTACGTGTCTCCATATCAAAGTGTTTAAAAAAAAAAAAAAAAAAAAAAAACTCCAAGCACATCACAGGCTGGCTGAGACCTATTTAAATCCACCATTAATAGAAACCTACATAAAAGCCAATTTGCACTCTCATGTCAGGAGCGTCCTGTAGGAAGGCCGGAATGAAACCATTCAGAAAAAAAAGAGATATTTGCATATAAATCAAAAAAAAGAGCGTAACCGAAGTTCTGTATGGTTATAAATCGGTGTAAAACATGTTTTGTGAGCTGTGTTAATTGCTACCAGACTAAATCTGGGTGTAGCCACATCACATAGTATAAATGTTCCAGTAATATTGCCCAGTGGAATTTTAAGTTATACCCGTAAATATAAATCACATTTTTAAAGCCTGCATTTGCCTCTGCACATTCCGACTGCTGTTGATATTACGGCCGTACGTTTTCCTCTTGCGTTATTTTCCACTAGGAGGAAAACCCTGAAGGAATCTCCATGTTTTAAGACCACATTGTCAGCGTCTGGGCAGGATACGCGACCGCCAAATCCGAACCCAAAACAAGGCCTGAAAGACAGCAGGGCAGCTGCCGTGCAAAACCCGAGCATTTGCTTCCAAATTAGAAGCATCCTCTACCTTCCCCACCTCCAACTTTGCCCAGATGTCCGTGGGCATCTGCAGGCTTGGCTTTGGGAAAGGAACCGCTCGAGCCCGGATTCCTGTCAGCGTTAGCAGGGAGGGGGGGCCAGGCGGTAAAAATAAATCGATTTGGTCAAAATAATAATAATAATAAAAGCTGTAAGTGCAAGATTAAGCATCGGCAGGATTATAAAGATGGCAAATCGCCACAGGGCGCTTTAGGATTCACCCCAAGGCAGCCCCCCCAGCACAGCCCCACACAGCTCAGGGCGAGGGAGGCGCTTGGGGAGCGCGGCAAAAATTGCCACAAAGTGCCCTGATTTCCCCTTAAGTTATTACACCCCCCCCCCACACACACACGTATACACGGACATGTATATATATGTATATGTATGTAAAGACACTGCGGGCAGCGCGGCCGCCGCGCGCCCCCTCAGCGCCAACGGCCGCGAGCGACAGCACCAACGGCCGCCAGCGACAGCACCAACGGCCGCGGCGGCCGCGCAGCCCCCGCGGCGGCGGCCTGGGGGCCCGCGGCGCCTCTTACCGTGGCCGAGGCGACGCTGTTGTCCGCCAGGGTCAAGTGGTGCGGCTCCCACCGCCGCAGGAACTTGGAGGTGAGGATCTTGCTGAGAAATGTCCGGGGGTGCCGGATGACGCACACCTGGATGTCCCCCTCCTGCAGCAGCTTGTACCTCATGCCGTTGCAGTGGAGCAGCGCCCGCCGGCACGGAGCAGCACCCATTTTATTCCCCTCCGTCGCGGACATTTCCCCCAGCAGCGGCTTGCTCTCCTCGAGCTGTCTGTGATCGCTGCCCCCGCCGGAGCTGCCGTTAAAATCCATAGCAGCCTGCGGGGCTGTATCGTGCTCGGCGCGAGCCGCCTCGCGGAGGAAGGTTCCTATAGGTGGGAGAGCTAGCTAGCTAGGTATAGATATATATATATACACATAAAAAAATGAAATCCAACCCCACACAGCAGACTAAAACACGCTGCAGGCGGAAAAAAAAAAAAGAAAAAAAAAAAGATGGGGGAAGGGATTCAGCCACAGAGAAGAAAAAAATGAAAAAAAAAAAATAAAGGGGGGAAGGGGAGACGATTAAAAAAAAAAAATCCTTATTCAAAGTTCAGCTGTGTCCTCGGGCGGGCGCCCCGCGCCGCGGCGGCTCTCAGCGCGCCGCATCCATGGAGCCGGGCGGCTGCGCGCGGAGCGGAGCGGCGCGGAGGGCGGGCGGGCGGCGGGGGCAGCAGACAAAAGGCGGCGGCGGGGGCTGCGGGGCGTCCGGCCGCGGCTCCTTCCTTCCCCCCGGGGCGTGTGCGCGAGTGCGTGCGGCGGGCGCGCGCGCGGGCATGTAGATGGGTGCGTGTGCGCGCCGGCGGGTGCCTGCGTGGGGGTGCGCGCGCGTGGGGTGTGTGAGTGTGAGCGCGGGTGCGTGTGAGTGCGCGCGAGCGCGCCCGCCCGCGCGCGCCGCCGCCGCGGGGGGAGGAGGAGGAGGAGGAGCGGGAGGCGCGGGGCGAGCGCGCCCGGGAGCCTCGCGCGCCGCCCTCAGCCCATTGGCTCCCGCGCGGTCACGTGCCGCCCTCCCTGACGTCAATGGCCGCGGAGGGGGCCGCGGCGCGAGGCGCGCGGGAAGCTCCGCGGCCGCGAGCGGGGCGGCGGTCCCGCCCCGTCCCCCCGGTGCCCGCGCGGGAAGCAGCGAGGGAGGGAGGGAGGGTGGGAGGGAAGCTGCGGAGGAGGCGGCCCCGGGGCGGGCGGGGCCGCGCGCACCTGCGCGCCCGCGGAGGGAGCCCCCCCCCCCCCCCCCCGCCCCGGGCCCCCCCGGGCGCGGGGGGGGGGGGGGCCCCCCCCCCGCGCCGCCGGGGGGGGGGCCCCCCCCGCCGCGGTTACCTCAGCGCCGAGCGAGCGCGCGGCCCCCGGGGCAGGAGGGAGCGGGCGCCCGCTGCCCCCCGGAACCCGCGGAAACGGGAGCGCCCCCGGCACCTTGGGGCTGGTGTCCGGCTCTGTGCAATATGGATGCCGAGCAAAGCGGAATGGCACCGCCGCTCCGTGGTTTTTCTTCTCTTTTCCCCCCAGCAGACAACGGTAGTGGTGACACTCAGCTCTCGTTTCCCAGTTCTTGTTTTGAGCAAGCAGCACCAAATAAATATGTGTGCGTGTTGCTAAACGGTGGAAGTCATTTCACTGGCTGTTGCTAAGGTCAAGGCATTAGAAGCTGTTTACCTGATGGACAAAGCATAAAACGTAGTAAACTTAATCCCATCGCTCATTTAGGGAGACTGGGAAAGGGATGGTGCCCGTGACGAGGAGACCTTTTCCCCCCACAGTGTCCCTGCAGTGGAGCCCTGTCAGCTCCGCTCAGCGCAGCAGTCCTCAAGGAGAGACGGCGGCGGTGGCAGCTCTGAGCGGCTCCGCGAGCCGGCCCAGCACAAATGCTCCCGTCCGGCAGCCACGGCCGCGCTGGAGGCAGCCGAGGCTCCCGCCCGCACGCTGAGCTGTGGCTGCAGGGCCTGGGCAGCCTTTGCCACGAAAGCTTCAGCGCTGAGCGCCGAGGAGGATGCAGGAGCGGTTCCCGGGAGCGCGCGCTGCCTGCCCCCTTACACAGCCGGCGTGCAGCTGACATGGGAATTGCTATTTAGACACCTGCACGAAGGCACATGTTAGTAACGTATCAATTGCTTTTCAAGCTCTATGGATACCTTCCTTGAATGCTAGCATCAAAATTACCCATAAAGACGCAGGGAGTCTGTGGAGCACTCACAAGTGCCAGTTTATTGCATGATGCACAGAATTACGCAGCTTAGCTAAGGTTAGAATATACTCATTTAATGACAGGAATGATACAGCCAACAGTAAGACAAAATTCCTTTGTAAAAATGTCACTCTCTCCTAGCACTGGTAGTGATTTACCTTCTGATCTCAAAGAACTGTCTGGTCATTATGCATTGAACATTACAGGCTGTCCCCACTAAGCTTCGTATCCCACATTACTGCTTGGGATGAATGATAGAAACACACATTATACTGAAATAAAATTAGATTTATTCATAAATAAATAAAAAATAAATAAATGTGGACCTGCTATGAAAAACAAACCGATGTCTAAACTAAAATTTAAAAGGACCTCTTTGCTTTGATGTGAGCTTTCTTCCTGCAGGAACCGGCTGTTTCTTCGAGTCCCTGGGATGTCCAAGGGAGTCCTGCTCTTGTTTGGCCGGAGGCACCGCTCTGGTACAAATAGCAGTGACAGCAGGAGTAGTATTGGCACACAAGGGACCTGCACCAGCGCTTCAGAAGTGTGAACTGCTGCCCCTGTCATTATTTGGGTGAAAATCTGAGCAAACTCACCACCCATTCATGCACTGCTTTAAATCCACTGCAACTGTCCTTCCGGGCAGCCGGTTTGTAATGGGAGGACTGCAGGTAAAAAGTGATTTCAAGTGAATTTTCCAGCAAATTAGTACATGTTTTCAACTCACCTTGCACTGAAGGTAACAAAAGAAGGTAACAAAAACCAAAGCTGTATATGAAACATAACCATGAACACATTCGTGTTACCTGGGAGGAAGCATACCCCAGGACATCCACAGCATGGAAGTGTTGAAATCCAGGGGAATTCTGCACCAGGCAGTGCCACCACCAGCAGCCCTTGCCAAGCAGAGCAGTACCAGGCCTCAGAGGACGGAGTGTTTGCAGCCCTCACTGAATTTGCTCTCCAAGGGCTGCAGGTGTTCTCCGAAATCAACTCAGCACAACATGAACTGATGGAGGTAGGAAACCTCACACTGCCTGCCAGGCCGGGGCAACCAAAAACCCTATCTGGACAGGAGAAATGGAACAGCTGTTTGCAGCAAATGTGACCCAAGGCTGAACACACTGACACTACTACCCCTTCTCACATCCCAAGAAATTGCACTCGAGCCTTTCTGGCTTTGTGCTCTTCCTAACGTCCCCCTTTGGGCTCCACGCAGTGTCGTAGCTGCTGCAGGATTTCAAAGTGATGCTCAATAATAATAATAAAAGCTACTATTGGTCCTTTGGATTCATATTCAGCATTTATACCTCTAATATTTGAATCCTGGATGCATTTTGGAGCTAATGGAACTTTCTTCCCTTACTCACCGAGGTGCCGGGCACATTATGGGATTCATTAGTCAATGCTTGCAAATGGCCACTGTTGACTCAGAGCAAATTCCTGCTATCAGACTCACTAGTCAGCTCATTTTCATAACAATGCAGCATTGTTAAAAATACTTTAAAACTATTCTGTGGGGAAACTGGGGAATACAGCAAATTCGAGCAAACATATGAAACATGAAAGAGATGCTGCATCAATAGTGCCCGAGGGGCCGCCACTGTTGGTTGCCATTGTCAGGAGGATACACAAAACCTCGGGAAACAGGATTGTTTCCCAAAAGGAGTGATGGACATTAAAAACCTAGCTAGCTTATAACACAGAAGACAAGCACAAAAAGCAAACCAAAAAAACTCCCACCATATAAGGAGCAGTTTCATAGATGCTTTATGGGAAGGAAGTGCTTCTTTAGGGCACCATTTGACCATAGATATTTACATGAAACTAATATTGCATTTACCGGCATCACTTCCTTTTCCCCAAATTTCTCATCACCTTCCTGCCTGAGCCTAATGATCTTATTTTGGAGAACATCTTCAGGCTTGGATGGGAACTTGGAAATCTCATCATTCCCATTCCTCCTCCATACCAGCACCATGTGGTCACCGTGTCCCGCTCCTATGTGATATACATTACGTTAAGGGGCTAACTGCACTCCATGCAGACGGGCCACAAAGGTATCTGGATTCCTTCCCAGCATAACACACACTTGTATGATGCAGAAATCCACTTTTTTCCCCACCTGCCGTCATGAGATGTCCCGGTGCAGGTGTCCGTGTGTAGGAACGGGCTGATGGATCAATTGCTAGAAGGAGCCTGCCATCTGCTGATGTGCACAGCGCTCCTGCCCGGCTCCAGCCTGGCAGCCTCAGCTGATCCTAGTGCATCCTGCGAAGCTGCAGCTCTGCTCTGAGCACATGAAGTGTATCTGAATGGAAGGAGCACGAACAGACTTGCTGGGGTGAAGGAACTTCAGTAAGCGGCAAGAGGAAGCCTGAAGTCTAATTTGAACACACAGAGATGCAGAGGCATCTAAAATAGACAGACAAGTGGTTAGGAAGGAAGCCAGCAGAAGAAACGAAGCGAAGGGGGAAGCCGAAAGCTCCGCTCCTCTCCCCTCCTCTGTTCCCTATCGGTGCAGCTAAGATCCCCGCTGTCCTCTCCATGCAGCCACCCTTCACAACAGCAGGTATAAACCACAAGCTGCTCCCTCACCAACCTCTACCTTCTTCTAGGGCTACCAACATGCCCAGGCATGGAAAAAGCCCTGGAAAAATAAAGAGCTGCCAACAAACCTTGTCAGGCTCCTGTTCTTTTTCTTACTTTAGCACTTACTTCCAACCAGATGTATGAAAAAACTGTCACCTGGTGAAAAGACATAATTTCTGTTAAACTGTTTACATTATTGCTACCTCATCCTTCCATCCCCAGCTAGTAGCTGCTGTTTCATAAGTGGGTAACACCTTAAGCAGTGAGTTTTCTTCTATCCAGAATGCACTGTTAGGACTTAACGCTAAGAAAGAAAAAGATAGTCTGAAATCAGGCAAGTGCATTTGTGCTCACTGAGACAACACAGCAGGGAAGTGAAATCAGAAGTGGAAAAAATGCTGAAGGACTTAGATTATTTTTTAAAAGATCAGGAAAAAATGCAGAGTGTGAAAGAGAATCAAGATTATTGGCAAGTTTGCTGTATCCACAAATTTGCTGGTGAGGAATAGCACACAGTTAGCATCAGTTTAGCACACTGTTCTCTTTCATGCTCTCTCTCAGATACAAATTTTAAAAATGGGGCTTTGGCTGTGTTGGGTAATTACACGTGTTATTATACTAACAATTTCCACCTGTCCCTCAGCTGGGCATGGCTGATTTAT